ATGAATAACTATAGAACTGATGTGGCTATTAGATGAGAATGTAAATTGTTTCTTTGGCTTGATATTTGATTATATATAGTCCTTAGAAAAGTATTTTTTTTTAACCTCATATTATCATCTCATATCATCAACGTGTAGTTGGAGAAATCTGCCTTTTCTCTGTCACAGACCAGAAGAATTCCAGTCATCAAATTACTTTGATAAATTTAAGGTAGTTTTGCTTAGAAGTGGACTCAGAGGCTTCCCTGCTGAGAGTCAAACACATTTTCAACCCCATTATAATAGTGTTTTCACTGGCTGAGTTTCAGCAGTTTGGCACTGAGGCACTAAGGAAGGTTGACCTACAAACTGTAAGTCATTAAAATCTTTACCCCTCCTGGCTAGTATATTCATTACCTTTGGGGCTAGTTAATAGCACTTAATGCTTCTTGATGGGCGAGCCCTTTTCATAAAATGGTTTTTATGAAGTCCATTCTTCAGTTGTGTTCTAATGGTGCCACTTCTGCTGGTTGTTTTGGGGTGAGGATATTAAAAAGTTGGTAGCAAAATAAATTCTGTGGTTATTACGTATTCCTAACCATCTGATTTCTCAGCTGGGCTCAAGTAGCATAGTTTTTTTTGCTGAACTCAAATCTAGGGTGACGTGGTCTTGTTGATTATTTTACCTCTAATCTTAATCTTTAATATTACTACCTGGAAATAGAAGGCGTGTTTTCAGATACTCTGATTTTCAGACTGACCCAAATCAATTTTTTGGGATGGATATAATTCTGTTATATATAAACTCTTCTGTTAGACCTCACTTGATCATAAGACCTTGCAATGTCACTCTTAATTCCGTATTTCTCAGGTTTCATTTCCATCATGTCTTACTGTCTTCCTGACAGAACTCCAAATCATTGCTCTACCTTCTAGTAGTTGCTTCTACAAGCTTTTTTAGAGTTTTGCTTTCCTCTAGACATTTTATGTTTCATGATTTTATTAAGGAGACAATGCAAGGCAAGCATAGCGAAACAATTAAATTACTTCAGGCTTTTCGTTCTAACACATCCTTTTTGTTGCAGATCCTTTGAAAATGGTAGAAATCACTGTCTTGTCTTAGTATCTCCCATGAATGCTGAGCCTCCATTATGTGTTCTGGATTTGGCAAACACTTATGGACTAAATGACTCTTCCTGCTATCTCTATCTTCTAGCTTTTTCTCCTCTTTCATAAGAGAAAGCTTTTTTTCTCATAAAAATTTAATAACTTTTTAAAAAAATATTTTCTGTTGTTTTCTACTGATTCATTGATGGGGCACTCTGCTTTTCCAGTAACATTTCTTTGTAGAGAACCATTCACTGTCAAAGGTTTAAGGTCAGTGGCTCTTGTAATTCTTTCCAAGGTGTGACCACCATGAAGATTAAAGAGTACTTAGGATAAATGCCCAATTATTGCAAAATTTGTATTTTAAAATGTCTGTGAAAGCTGGATTAAATGGTACAATTCAAAGGAAAAAATGCTCACAAAACACTTCAGGAATTCATGCTTTCACAGAGGTTTATCCTCAGTGTCTCCCATATAACTTCTGCACAATTCCAGTTAGTTTTCATCAGACCTATATTTACTCATTTCTTCTGAAAATCAAGAGAGAGGTCCATTCTTCACACACATGTATAAGGTCTGTGGCTGTATGTCTAGGACCCTGAGTGTTTCACTGAAAGAAGACTACTTAAGTGCTTTAAATATTTCCGAATGTAGATGTTAATTACAAAGAATTAATTGCTGAAACAGACTTTAGAGCAGGAGTTTCCAGACCATGTATTGCAAGCCCACAACACTGTTAGATACCTTACATTGCTTGAGTTTAGACTTTTTTGAATTGGTTTGGGGTTTTTTTGCTGCTGCTTCTGATTTTCTTGTGAAAGTGTGTTTTCTATCAATGTGTAGAGAACTACAGATGCACATGTAAGTGAAGAAGTTGTCCAAACTGCTCAAAGGTTGTCAGACTTCATTAATTTTTTGTCAATGGCTTTTAGGTCAGAGAAATTTCTCTTAATCTTGGTAGTTTAAGAGTGTCCCTAAAGAATACAATTTTTTAAAGCTAGCTACAGAATACCAACCTTCAGGTTTATCATTCAAGATATCCACCATTTCAGATGTCAGTTTTTTCCTGGCCAGACTCTCAAGTCCATTTTTCCCCATTTGCTATAGCAAACTCTTCTCAGCATGGTTTTGTTGATTTTTTTCCTTTTTATTTATTTATTTGCATGATTAAAAAAAAAGGCACAAATTAACTCTCAAATTATTGGAGAAACCTACTTCTAGAAATGACCGTCTATTAGGTGGAAAAGAGTCATTTTTTCTAATGCAGGCAGACTGCAGCTAAACGTTACTCTGATAACAAAGGTAGTCGTACTGGATTGGCTTAGTTCTCCATCTAGTCCAATACCCTGTATTTGGAAAGGAGCAAAAGCTGCATTGTAAAGGTTGTAAGACTGGAGCTAGTGTGTAGGTATATAGTTCTTTGAATGTTCTGTCAGCTTTGTACAATTTGGAGTGTTTTTGTAAACCAGAGGTGATGTCTTTATACTGTTTCTCTGCAGGGAAACTGTTCATCCTTTTCAATCATGCAAACTTTTAAACTTTTAACATCCATAACATCCAGTGGCAGAAAGTTCCACAGGGGCTTCATTAGAGGTTGTGTGAAGAGCCACCTTTTCCCATATTTTCTCCATTATTCATGATTGTGGAGCTTTGTCATAGCTCCCACAGTCACTTCGTTTCCGTGCTGAAGAGTACTAGTCCACTTCATTGTTTCTCTTACAGAAGTAACAGACATGGTAATAGTTATGATAAGTGGCAGTTTAAAATGTATGTTGTGCGCATCACCTAATTTAAGCCAAGACAGGAAGTCTCCAGCATGTGGCATTCACAAATACGTTCTCTAAGGGACAGAAGTGAACGATGACGCCATGATGTGCAACCCTCGTGTTTTTCTCATGTATTGCTAACTTCCATCTATGAAATTTTATTAGAGCATCGCACCTTTTATTTATCTGTTAGTATGGGGAGACAGTCCGCTCTATGAGAGGAACTACGGCACAGCCTGTAGACCGTTTTACTATAATATTTGCTTATATCTTCTGTCCGCTGAAAATTATCTTCTACTTTTTCATATGTACATTGTACTAATTTGTATGCAAGACTCTTTACTTGGAAAGGAATAGGACAAAAGTTACATGGTCTGAGCAGTAGGTCATGATTCTAGCAGTGCTTTATTTATACTGTTCAATATTTAATGTTGTTGCATATGCAAAATTACTTGCAGCTTCTGAATTTCCAAGTATATGATATATATGTTCATTTTTCAAAAAAAAAAAATGCTTTCCACGACTCTATTTCTTTAATCCTTCTTAAATACAGTTGACTGCAAAGTTATCAACAGTATATTGAGTTCTGTAACTGTAATCATTATGATTTTGACACATTCTCTTTACAGAAAGAGGAATAAAAATACAGTATTTGCACTTTTTAAAAAACTGTTTTAATTTAATTGTATTCTCATAAGGTTGTTTTATGTTGTATCACAGACATGTAAATCCTTGCAGAATTACTGTATAACCTTTTTGTCAGTGAGAAGGACTTAGCAAAGCCCAAAAGCCACAGTAGTAGGGCAATAATGGAGAAGTCACCATAATAACAGTATTTTCCTTCATGCGTTCAGCCAGTGACGTCTACAAGTTGTGAATTTTTCGTTTTCTTTTTCAAATTCAAGATGTCTTTTAAAACAATGCTAAAACAGATGAAAGACAAATGTGGATTGAAATCAATTTGTATTTCAGACTTGAAAAACTTAGTTTTATACATCATTACTTCCATTTCCTTGCTTCTTATTAGGGATTAATTAAGGAATATTTATTTATTTTATCTCTTTATTTACACACTGAAAAAAATTCAACACAGTGAAGCACAACTGAAGTAACCTGAGTGCCAACAGAGCTGGATTTGATTTTCTCTGTCTCATTGATGAATTAATTCCAAAAATACCTGTTCTAACATTGGCCAGCAATATATGTACAAAGGAGAAATGAAAGTACGAAGTATTGGTTAAAAAACTGGCAGAAAAAGTAAAGTGGAAAGTTTCTTGTTTATTTTTCAATTAAAAAGTTTGTGAAGAGAGAAGTTTTACAGAAAAAAACCTCTTAGTAGTACTGTATTACTGTTCAATTTCTGATTAAATTATTTTAAGTCTCACATGGAATGGTAATTAAAGTTTACACTTAGTTGCAATGACAATATAAAAATGTCTGAATTAATTTCTTTTTTATATGTCTAAATTGTTTCTATTGGGTCTGAATATTATCTGAATTCGTATCGATATTTCCAAACTGTGCAATTCTTGGCTTTGAAGAAATAACGGGTACTGTTATGAACAAAGTAAACCCCCAAAATCTGAGAAAACTCTTGCTCTGTCTGTCTTTCCCTTGGTACGTAATTAAGACCCGGTTAATAATCAACTTTTGAACAAAAGTAAAGCTCTGTTAGATTGGTAAAATCACTGGATAATTTAGATCACTGGAGGTCACCTGGTCCAACGTCTCATCCCCACTCAAAACAGGGCTGACTTTCAAAGATAGGTCAAATAATATGATGGAAATGTCTCTGGCATTATGAGTTTGAGCCTGAACTGGGTGACTTGGACCTCAGGAGTCTCCTGTTAGTGGTGTTGGCTAAAACAGTCAACATTATTTTTAATAGCGTCTTCAAAGAGAATCAGAGCCACCTATTATACTGCCATCTAAATTCCCAGTTTGCCATCTCCTGCTTGCATACAAAGATTTTGTGTAAAAAGATGAGGCCTCTGGTTAACAGACTAATAATTTACCTATTTGGCAACTGCCTCATCCAGTTACAGGCAAGCTTTAATATAAGCACAAACATGCTGCTACATTACCCGTGTTTTAAAACACTAGATTGATGTGAATATTTTACATTCATTCCTCTTTTTTCCTTCACAGTGCCAGGATTTCCCTACCCTGCTGCAACTGCAGCTGCTGCTTACAGAGGTGCACATCTAAGAGGCCGAGGTCGCACGGTGTATAACACGTTTCGTGCAGCAGCGCCCCCCCCTCCAATTCCAGCCTACGGCGGGTAAGGAGATCAGCCTCTTTTACCTATTAGCATGAATCTCCAAAGGCTACAAACTATTTGTGACTGTGGTGCATGCTGATCGTGTCTCACCGCAGAAACCAACGCAGCATGCAACCAATCCCAGCGCTGGAAGTGGTGCACCTTGCACGGAGTATTGAAAAATGACTCTAATTTGTACTGCCATGGTTGGTGGCCTTAAGCATTTCAGATGTCACATATTGTTATGTAGATGTTCTTAGAAACTGAATGCTTTGGAACAGAGAAATTGCTTCAGCTAAAGATACATTTTTGATGATTGCAAACATCTGGTTATTAAGGAGGTTGGATCAAGTTAACTTCTTTTTCTTCAAATAATCCACTGAAAGCTGTCTCTGGACCTGAAGGCTTAGTGGTGTATTTTATTTTTTTTAATTGCAGTTTGTTTAGTTTATCTAGTTGATATCTTTACCATGATAGAAATTTGGGATGCTTCTCTCAGGCCTATGTGTTTTTCAGTACGTTTGCTTAAATAATACCTTAAGATTTCACTGTCAGTGACCTGCATTACTAAAACCAAGTAGAAAACTAAGGAACAAAGGAGAAATTCATAGTAATAATTTCCAGAATCTTAATAATCTTCTGTTAATTCAGAAGATATATATAAATTTTTTGAGGTATATTTTTGAGGGAAAGAAGGAAGAAACAAATTCTCCTTGTAGCTCTGTAAATGCTGACACAGAAAGATTTTGTATGCTGCATGTGATATTTAAAAGTCCTAACATCGTCAAAAGATTTTTAGCTATTAAGAAATTGGGAAGTTTGGAAAATCAGAAAACTTGGCAGATCCCAGGCCAGAATAGTATTTTGTCATAAAAATTTGTGGTAGATATGCCACCGCCTCTCTGTAGAGCAATTGGTTCTTTCTCAGAAAGGCTCAGGAAGGGTTTGCAAAGTTTTGGATGAAGGTGATCCCTCTCTCGGCCCTCACTAAAGTCCTGTTCCACAGCTCATCTGCTCTCACTGTGGATATCTTGTAAGGGAACTTGCAGCACAAGATTTTGCTATGATCCTGTCCTCCTACTTCGTTACGGTAGAAGATGGGTGCCCTTCACTACTTCCCTCAGTTTCTCATGAAGCCTTTGTTCTATTAAGCCAAAAGGTGTGTCTTTTTCTAGACAGGTTTGCAAATCTAGTCAGTCAGCCATTGAACTAAATTTTCAGGGATATTTAGGACAGGCGCTTTGATCATTCCTTCACATTGGGTGGTTATCACCTCAGAGAAATAAGATGTTCTAAAAATGAATATAAAAATGATGCCACAGAACCAGGTTATTTTGTAAAAGTGTGTTCTATTTTATTTAAGTGTTTTGTGTAGTTTAATAAGCAAACTAATATTAATTTAATAAACAAAACAATATTACCACTACTGGAGAAAGACACCGTGATTTTTGAAGATTGTTTGAGTTACCTTTGGACAAGGATGGTCTCCCACCAAAGTTATCCTACTGCTGCCCAGACTCTTTAGAGTTAGTCCAGGTATTTGTACATGGCAATGATGGTAACGAGTTTAGAATGCCCTGCAAGAGCCAATTTCAGTATGAATGTCTCAGCTACGAAATGGATATTGCATATAAAGAAAGTGGACTCTTTCCATCTCTACTTAGTTTAAAAAGAAATTATTAAATTTGAACACCATGTACAATATGTAGTGAGATAACAACACGGGTTGTTACCAGTTTCATGATGTCACAAATGTAACATCTTAGTTTAATAGAAAGTCATAAAATAATATAAGAAAATATATACCAGCTACGTGTGATACAGTTTTTGAATCGGACAACACTTCTTTGTTCGTATATGCAAAATGGGTAACTACTTTCAGACCAGTAAGTAACTTAAATTTGCTTTAATTTAAGGGGCCACATGTGGGTGCTCTGTGTGTGTGTGTGTGTGTGTTATAAATTTTTATAGTTTAGTTAGTACAGCGACTCAGCAGGACGAATTAAATTTCCAAGTGTAATACATATATATTCTCATGTAATTGTACTGCTTACTTTCAGCATCTTTAGGTAGTAAGTTAGATGTATAAGCGTTTTGAACTCCTGTTGTAAGTTAATACAGAAGTTTTGCACTGC